TTTATAGAAAAAGTGGCTCTGACATTAAGGAATGTTTGTGAAAAAGTTGGTCTGAACTAGAGAAAGGTTCTAATGAAAAAGTAGCTCTGAACTAGAGAAAGTTTTGTAGAAAAAGTTGCTCTGAAATAGAGTAAGAGTTGATCAGAAATAGACCAAGTTTTTGAAGAAATATTTCCTCTGAACAGAAGAAAATTTTTTGCCTTGACTTGGAGATAGTTTTTATAGAAAAGGTTTCTCTGAACAAGTTTTTTTTAGAAAATGTTTCTCTGAAGTAGAGAAGCAAAAGTTCTTATATAAAGAATTGCTTTGAACCAGAGAATATTGTTATAGAAAACGTTGCTCTGAGCTAGAGAAAATTTTTCAATAAAAGTTGTTCTGACCTTTAGCAATTTTTTTTATAAAAAGCTTCTCTGAAGTAGAGAAGGTTCTTATAGAAAAAGTTATTTCGAATCAGAGAATGTTTTATAGAAAAATTTCTGAAGAATAAATTACTCTGAACAAGAGCAAGTTTTTAAAGAAAAAGTTGCTCTGAACTAGATCAAGTTCTTAAAGAAAAAGTTGCTCTAACGAGAAAAGTTTATGAAAAGTTTTATGAAAAGTTTCTTTGAACCAGAGAATGTTATTAAAGAAAAAGTTGCTCTGAATCTGAGTAAATTTGAACCAGAGAAAATTATTAGAGAAAAAGTTGCTCTGAATCTGAGTAAGTTGTTATAGAAAAAGTTCTCTAAACCAGAGAATGTTTACATAGAAAAAGTTGTTCTACTTCAGAAAAAGTTCTTATTGCGATATTTTCTTTGAACCACAGAAAGCTCCTATAGAAATAGATGTTCCGTTGCTCTGCACCAGAGCATGTTTAAAAAACTTTTAGCTCGAAAAAGTTGATCTGAAGCTGTAAAAGTTTTAATAGAAAAAGTTGATCAGAACCATAGAAAGCGACTATAGGATTCAGTTCTAGTTCAGTTGCACTGCACCAGAGATTAAAAAAATGTTTGCTCTATACCAGGGAAACTTCTTATCAAAAAGTTGAACTCAATTGAATTACTACAAAAAACGTTAATCTTATCCAGAACACATAACTGTTGTGGAGAATCATATGGTCGGCCATGACCGACCCTACTTCTATCCCCTGTTTATTATACTATATATATATTTTTCGCTATATTTAAACGTTTCATATTCCCCAAACGATTAATATGTACAAATATATAATATTTTATAATATACTCGAAAAAAAGGTGAAGGTTATATAAATATAACAATTTATTTTAGTTAAGGAAAACATATTTTTTTATAAATTGTCCTATGCGAAATATATCTGTATAAGATAATTTTTTTCTAAATATTCTAACAGAAAAAGTTGTATATATATATATACAACACATAACCCTTAAAGCGACCTCTTAAATTAAAAAACATAAATAAATTCTACACAATATGTTATCTGTAGACAGACAAAAATTCTTACAGTACAGAGTAAAAGTTATCGTTCAACTTCTGTCCTTTGTTCCTGTACACCATTACTGAACACATGATGTTTTGTTAAGTAATTCAATTAAACTGAAAATACAAATGGTTTTAAGTTTCATTCAAAATTTACTTTTATTAGCCACTGTATTTTAATTCTGTTAAAAGCTTTAACACAATTTAAATCTGCAGAAAAAAAAATTATTTAAATACTTATGCATAAATATATTTATATATATAAACATGTTTACACACACTTTATTTCATTTATAATTTATTAATATTCGTTTTTATAAAAAGTTAAATCTTTGTCAAAAAAAAAAAACTTGTCACAGCAAATAAAATCTGTTGATTTCATTTATTTTGACAGCAAACCAAAAAACGAATAAATGATAAAACTTTGATTTCCTTAAACAGGATATAAATAGAGAAGTAATGTAAAAAACTTCACTTTTCTTGCTAGTTCAGTTCTAGTTCAGTTCTAGTTCAGTTCTAGTCCATTCTAGTTCAGTTCTAGTTCAGTTCTAGTTCAGTTCTAGTTCAGTTCTAGTTCAGTTCTAGTTCAGTTCTAGTTCAGTTCTAGTTCAGTTCTAGTTCAGTTCTAGTTCAGTTCTAGTTCAGTTCTAGTTCAGTTCTAGTTCAGTTTCAGTTCTAGTTCAGTTCTAGTTCAGTTCTAGTTCAGTTCTAGTTCAGTTCTAGTTCAGTTCTAGTTCAGTTCTAGTTCAGTTCTAGTTCAGTTCTAGTTCAGTTCTAGTTCAGTTCTAGTTCAGTTCTAGTTCAGTTCTAGTTCAGTTCTAGTTCAGTTCTAGTTCAGTTCTAGTTCAGTTCTAGTTCAGTTCTAGTTCAGTTCTAGTTCAGTTCTAGTTCAGTTCTAGTTCAGTTCTAGTTCAGTTCTAGTTCAGTTCTAGTTCAGTTCTAGTTCAGTTCTAGTTCAGTTCTAGTTCAGTTCTAGTTCAGTTCTAGTTCAGTTCAGTTCTAGTTCAGTTCTAGTTCAGTTCTAGTTCAGTTCTAGTTCAGTTCTAGTTCAGTTCTAGTTCAGTTCTAGTTCAGTTCTAGTTCAGTTCTAGTTCAGTTGTCTAGTTCAGTTCTAGTTCAGTTCTAGTTCAGTTCTAGTTCAGTTCTAGTTCAGTTCTAGTTCAGTTCTAGTTCAGTTCTAGTTCAGTTTAGTTCAGTTCTAGTTCAGTTCTAGTTCAGTTCTAGTTCAGTTCTAGTTCAGTTCTAGTTCAGTTCTAGTTCAGTTCTAGTTCAGTTCTAGTTCAGTTCTAGTTCAGTTCTAGTTCAGTTCTAGTTCAGTTTCAGTTCTAGTTCAGTTCTAGTTCAGTTTCTAGTTCAGTTTCAGTTCAGTTCTAGTTCAGTTCTAGGTTCATGCAGTTCTAGTTCAGTTCTAGTTCAGTTCTAGTTCAGTTCTAGTTCAGTCTAGTTCAGTTAGTTCAGTTTCTAGTTCAGTTCTGTTCAGTTCTAGTTCTTCTAGTCAGTTCTAGTTCAGTTCTAGTTCAGTTCTAGTTCAGTTCTAGTTCAGTTTCTAGTTCAGTTCTTAGTTCAGTTCTAGTTCAGTTCTAGTTCCAGTTTCTAGTTCAGTTCTAGGTCAGTTCTAGTCAGTTCTAGTTCAGTTCTAGTTCAGTTCTAGTTCAGTTCTAGTTCAGTTCTAGTTCAGTTCTAGTTCAGTTCTAGTTCAGTTCTAGTTCAGTTCTAGTTCAGTTCTAGTTCAGTTTCCTAGTTCAGTTCTAGTTCAGTTCTAGTTCAGTTCTAGTTCAGTTCTAGTTCAGTTCTAGTTCAGTTCTAGTTCAGTTCTAGTTCAGTTACTAGTTCAGTTCTAGTCGTTAGTTCAGTTCTAGTTCAGTTCTAGTTCAGTTCTAGTTCAGTTCTAGTTCAGTTCTAGTTCAGTTCTAGTTCAGTTTTAGTTCAGTTCTAGTTCAGTTCTAGTTCAGTTTCTAGTTCAGTTCTAGTTCAGTTCTAGTTCAGTTCTAGTTCAGTTCTAGTTCAGTTCTAGTTCAGTTCTAGTTCAGTTCTAGTTCAGTTCTAGTTCAGTTCTAGTTCAGTTCTAGTTCAGTTCTAGTTCAGTTCTAGTTCAGTTCTAGTTCAGTTCTAGTTCAGTTCTAGTTCAGTTCTAGTTCAGTTCTAGTTCAGTTCTAGTTCAGTTCTAGTTCAGTTCTAGTTCAGTTCTAGTTCAGTTCTAGTTCAGTTCTAGTTCAGTTCTAGTTCAGTTCTAGTTCAGTTCTAGTTCAGTTCTAGTTCAGTTCTAGTTCAGTTCTAGTTCAGTTCTAGTTCAGTTCTAGTTCAGTTCTAGTTCAGTTCTAGTTCAGTTCTAGTTCAGTTCTAGTTCAGTTCTAGTTCAGTTCTAGTTCAGTTCTAGTTCAGTTCTAGTTCAGTTCTAGTTCAGTTCTAGTTCAGTTCTAGTTCAGTTCGTTCAGTTCTAGTTCAGTTCTAGTTCAGTTCTAGTTCAGTTCTAGTTCAGTTCTAGTTCAGTTCTAGTTCAGTTCTAGTTCAGTTCTAGTTCAGTTCTAGTTCAGTTCTAGTTCAGTTCTAGTTCAGTTCTAGTTCAGTTCTAGTTCAGTTCTAGTTCAGTACTAGTTCAGTTCTAGTTCAGTTCTAGTTCAGTTCTAGTTCAGTTCTAGTTCAGTTCTAGTTCAGTTCTAGTTCAGTTCTAGTTCAGTTCTAGTTCAGTTCTAGTTCAGTTCTAGTTCAGTTCTAGTTTAGTTCAGTGGGTATTATATAAACATCATTACAAGCATGTAATTCCCTTCCCACGATAGTGATAAACAAATTTAAAATAATATTTATACAAAAATATATTTTAACATTATATTGCCCTGTCTCCTTTAAAATAAATACTTCTTGCTGTGAGTTATTTTTATTTCATTAAAATTTTACTATAAATTACTATAAAAAGAAGTGTAAATGTCAGAGCACTTGCAATTAATTTTTTTTCTTTTCATCAGCAAATAAAGTAAATTTCCCCATTTATTTCGTTTAATTTCAGTAAGATTTACAACAGTGACAGGAACAGGGACAGAAACAGAAGGAAAGAGCAACAAAAATAATAACATGTACTTACTAAACATATGAATAATAACAACAACAATGAAATGCTTGCTTACAATATGGCTACCATAAGCCTGAATAATATCAACTCAAAAACAACAACAGCAACTACAGCAAACATCTACAACAACAATAAATATAATAAGAATAACACAACAGTAAAATACTCACAACTTATCACAACGGAAGTTAAGGCAAACAACAACTACAACTATACCGGCAACTGTAACAGCAAAAACAAAAACAGGAAATTCAACAGTTTGCAATAACAGTTCATGTTTAAATAATTCATCTTCATCTGCCACTTGTACTACTACGGCTACTACTACGTGGCAAGCAACAAGTTCTTACCACAATTTTATTAAATTGTATAATAACGAAATTATATTAACTCCACTTTGTTCCCATTGTTGGACTCATTATTTTGTATAACAAAAGCCACCACTTCATCATTTTCAACAACGTCATCATCAATACAAACGTCATTGCTTTCACAAGTGTTTTCATTAAAAACAATATTTAAACATGTTTTACTGGCATTTAATTTTTATAATCCTATTAGCAGCATTTCAATTGCAAGTTGAATATGCAACAGCTCATTATGTTGCAAATGCAACCGCTGTTTTAGCTGCAACTTCAACAACATCAGCAGGAACTGTGCCATCAGCACCAGCATCATCAGCAGCAGTGGCCACAATCACAACGGCCATTAGCTCAACATCCAGTAGTTCATCATTAAATAATATTTTAAGAATTGGAGATGGCAACATAATAACAAGGGTAAGTGGTAAACATGAATGAATTAAACAAAAATGGAAATACTTTCGTTGTACCAATGGAAATGAATAATAAATAAAACTGTTATTAAATTTTCAGTTTAGTTCTAATTCTTCTAGTTTAGTTCTAGGTCTATCGTATTCATTTTAGTTGCCAAACCTTGATTTAACGATAATTAGCCCCACTAAAACACTGAATTAATCCATCCTCTTTATAAATGTGAAATAGTTATAATTACAAATCGAATTAAAAGTGATACACATTAATCAGTATCTATGTGTGTCACTAATAGTTCATTAAACTTAATCCCGCCAATCTTGCAAATCGTGTGTTTTAAAAAATAAATAAACGACTAGTAATTAAAAGGTCAAATGACAGAACTAAAACAGACAAAAGACGATAAAAAAATAAAAGTCAACAAAAAAGAGGAGAAAACCAATACAACTAAACACACCAACCCATAAAATAAATACGGTCTTAAGTACATCAACACTTGGGCTTTTTTTAATTGTTGTCAGTCATAAATAAAACACACACACCTACATACATATGTATGTACTTATAACAAACCTTTGTTAGTATAAAGAGATCAGGGAAAGTCACAAAGGGAATATGCGTTCAGTTCTAGTTCAGTTCAGTTCTAGTTCTGTTCTAGTTCTGTTCTAGTTCTGTTCTAGTTCTGTTCTAGTTCTGTTCTAGTTCTGTTCTAGTTCTGTTCTAGTTCTGTTCTAGTTCTGTTCTAGTTCTGTTCTAGTTCTGTTCTAGTTCTGTTCTAGTTCTGTTCTAGTTCTGTTCTAGTTCTGTTCTAGTTCTGTTCTAGTTCTGTTCTAGTTCTGTTCTAGTTCTGTTCTAGTTCTGTTCTAGTTCTGTTCTAGTTCTGTTCTAGTTCTGTTCTAGTTCTGTTCTAGTTCTGTTCTAGTTCTGTTCTAGTTCTGTTCTAGTTCTGTTCTAGTTCTGTTCTAGTTCTGTTCTAGTTCTGTTCTAGTTCTGTTCTAGTTCTGTTCTAGTTCTGTTCTAGTTCTGTTCTAGTTCTGTTCTAGTTCTGTTCTAGTTCTGTTCTAGTTCTGTTCTAGTTCTGTTCTAGTTCTGTTCTAGTTCTGTTCTAGTTCTGTTCTAGTTCTGTTCTAGTTCTGTTCTAGTTCTGTTCCAGTTCTGTTCTAGTTCTGTTCTAGTTCTGTTCTAGTTCTGTTCTAGTTCTGTTCTAGTTCTGTTCTAGTTCTGTTCTAGTTCTGTTCTAATTCTGTTCTAATTCTGTTCTAGTTCTATTCTAGTTCTGTTCTAGTTCTGTTCTAGTTCTGTTCTAGTTCTGTTCTAGTTCTGTTCTAGTTCAGTTCTAGTTCTGTTCTAGTTCTGTTCTAGTTCTGTTCTAGTTCTGTTCTAGTTCTGTTTAGTTCTGTTCTAGTTCTGTTCTGCCCTAGTTCTGTTCTAGTTCTGTTTCTACTTCTGTTCTAGTTCTGTTCTAGTTCTGTTCTAGTTCTGTTCTAGTTCTGTTCTAGTTCTGTTCTAGTTCTGTTCTAGTTCTGTTCTAGTTCTGTTCTAGTTCTGTTCTAGTTCTGTTCTAGTTCTGTTCTAGTTCTGTTCTAGTTCTGTTCTAGTTCTGTTCTAGTTCTGTTCTAGTTCTGTTCTAGTTCTGTTCTAGTTCTGTTCTAGTTCTGTTCTAGTTCTGTTCTAGTTCTGTTCTAGTTCTGTTCTAGTTCTGTTCTAGTTCTGTTCTAGTTCTGTTCTAGTTCTAGTTCTGTTCTAGTTCTGTTCTAGTTCTGTTCTAGTTCTGTTCTAGTTCTGTTCTAGTTCTGTTCTAGTTCTGTTCTAGTTCTGTTCTAGTTCTGTTCTAGTTCTGTTCTAGTTCTGTTCTAGTTCTGTTCTAGTTCTGTTCTAGTTCTGTTCTAGTTCTGTTCTAGTTCTGTTCTAGTTCTGTTCTAGTTCTGTTCTAGTTCTGTTCTAGTTCTGTTCTAGTTCTGTTCTAGTTCTGTTCTAGTTCTGTTCTAGTTCTGTTCTAGTTCTGTTCTAGTTCTGTTCTAGTTCTGTTCTAGTTCTGTTCTAGTTCTGTTCTAGTTCTGTTCTAGTTCTGTTCTAGTTCTGTTCTAGTTCTGTTCTAGTTCTGTTCTAGTTCTGTTCTAGTTCTGTTCTAGTTCTGTTCTAGTTCTGTTCTAGTTCTGTTCTAGTTCTGTTCTAGTTCTGTTCTAGTTCTGTTCTAGTTCTGTTCTAGTTCTGTTCTAGTTCTGTTCTAGTACTGTTCTAGTTCTGTTCTAGTTCTAGTTCTGTTCTAATTCTGTTCTAGTTCTGTTCTAGTTCTGTTCTAGTTCTGTTCTAGTTCTGTTCTAGTTCTAGTTCTGTTCTAGTTCTGTTCTAGTTCTGTTCTAGTTCTGTTCTGTTCTAGTTCTGTTCTAGTTCTGTTCTAGTTCTGTTCTAGTTCTGTTCTAGTTCTGTTCTAGTTCTGTTCTAGTTCTGTTCTAGTTCTGTTCTAGTTCTGTTCTAGTTCTGTTCTAGTTCTGTTCTAGTTCTGTTCTAGTTCTGTTCTAGTTCTGTTCTAGTTCTGTTCTAGTTCTGTTCTAGTTCTGTTCTAGTTCTGTTCTAGTTCTGTTCTAGTTCTGTTCTAGTTCTGTTCTAGTTCTGTTCTAGTTCTGTTCTAGTTCTGTTCTAGTTCCGTTCTAGTTCTGTTCTAGTTCTGTTCTAGTTCTGTTCTAGTTCTGTTCTAGTTCTGTTCTAGTTCTGCTCTAGTTCTGTTCTAGTTCTGTTCTATTTCTGTTCTAGTTCTGTTCTAGTTCTGTTCTAGTTCTATTCTAGTTCTATTCTAGTTCTATTCTAGTTCTATTCTAGTTCTGTTCTAGTTCTGTTCTAGTTCTGTTCTAGTTCTGTTCTAGTTCTATTCTAGTTCTATTCTAGTTCTGTTCTAGTTCTGTTCTAGTTCTGTTCTAGTTCGGTTCTAGTTCTGTTCTAGTTCTGTTTTAGTTCTGTTCTAGTTCAATTCTAGTTCAATTCTAGTTCTGTTCTAGTTGTGTTCTAGTTCTGTTCTAGTTCCGTTCTAGTTCTGTTCTAGTTGCTTTTCTAGTTCTGTTCTAGTTCTTTTCTAGTTCTGTTCTAGTTCTGTTCTAGTTCTGTTCTAGTTCTGTTCTAGTTTTGCTCTAGTTCTGTTCTAGTTCTGTTCTAGTTCTGTTCTATTTCTGCTCTAGTTCTGTTCTAGTTCTGTTCTAATTCTGTTCTAGTTCTGTTCTAGTTCTGCTCTAGTCCTTTTCTAGTTCAATTCTAGTTTCGTGTTATCAATGTGTTGCTCATATGTCTATACATATATAATACTTGTCCTCTGTTGTCTAAGGAAGCCGACCGATATCATGTTTACATATTTGTACATAAATAAAGCGAAAAAAGCTTAAGGGGGGGAAAAAATTTGTTGTTGTTTAATAATTCATGCTACATTTATACAGTGGATTACACCACCCTACTGAAAAGCAGGTGGTATAATTTATCATAAACAGCAATTAAACTAATTGTTTTGTAAAAGCGTTTTAAACAGCAGTAACAAACTTAAAAAAACTAACATATTGGCCTTATTCCAAAAGTAATAAAAAATATATTTAAAGGAAAAGTTTATTGCAAAAAAAAAACTTTGTGGTAAATTGATGTAGGATTTAAGTGTCCTTATTTCCATAAAATTTATTTCATATTTTCTATAACTAAAAAAAAAACGCAAACACTTATTAAATTATTTATTGTTTTCTCTGTTTTCTGTATCAACAGGATGCCATTGAACAATCTCTGGTAACAATTCATGATATTGCCACTGAAAACTTGGGCACACTGTGCATTTCAACATTGTATCGTCCTCTGCAAGTGCCCATCAATTCGGAGGCGTTATGATAGTTCGAGACAAAAGGCTGATTTAATTGCCTCCATTTGCAGGAAGTGGGCATTATAAGACATGGAGGTAGGTGATGGAAACAATATATAATATTAACATGAAAGTATGTATGTATATGAAAACAAAATTGACTAAGAAAGATCAAAATAATTGTCTTCATTGTTAGAGTAAATACATAATTTAATTGTAACTATATAAGTTTTCACATTGTTAAATAATATCTGAAATCCTAAACTAAATATCTTTAAACTTGTGTATGTGTCCATAACATTTGTGTTTCAATTTATTATCCACCCCTGACTACATACAGGTTTATCTGATGCTTTAGCCAAAGGCTTACTAAGTGATGATTATACTACGGGTGCCAGAATTTTGGCACTTAATATAACCAATGGCTCCATACAGTCGTATGTGTGGTGGATTAAGAAAAATCATGATAAAAATGGTGAATTGCAACGTTTCGAAGAAGAGGTTTTACAAATTGGAAAGAAACCCTCACAAATGTATCCCTGGTAAGTAAATTACAAATCACATAAGAAGTAAAGAAAAGACAAAAGTAATTAAGGGTTTATTTTGGATAAGACAAAATGAATTTGATTTTATTTATTTTACTTATTCGTTTAATGTTGCTCATTTTGTTTCATATTAAAACAAAAACACGCAAAAATCAAAACGCCTCCTGCTCCTACACTTTGTAGCACGTAATTGATGATGACTTTTGTTTGGCCAAACAGCAAAACATTTGTTTCGAACTCAAAAATTGAATGCCAAGAATGAATAAGTGCAAATGTTTATGGAGTTGTACAACAGATGTTGCACAGTAGTATTAGGAAAACAATTTTTTAGTAAATGACCCTCGAAGTGGTCACTCGACTAGTTGTGTTCTAGTTCTGTTCTAGTTCTGTTCTAGTTCTGTTCTAGTTCTGTTCTAGTTCTGTTCTAGTTCTGTTCTAGTTCTGTTCTAGTTCTGTTCTAGTTCTGTTCTAGTTCTGTTCTAGTTCTGTTCTAGTTCTGTTCTAGTTCTGTTCTAGTTCTGTTCTAGTTCTGTTCTAGTTCTGTTCTAGTTCTGTTCTAGTTCTGTTCTAGTTCTGTTCTAGTTCTGTTCTAGTTCTGTTCTAGTTCTGTTCTAGTTCTGTTCTAGTTCTGTTCTAGTTCTGTTCTAGTTCTGTTCTAGTTCTGTTCTAGTTCTGTTCTAGTTCTGTTCTAGTTCTGTTCTAGTTCTGTGTTCTAGTTCTGTTCTAGTTCTGTTCTAGTTCTGTTCTAGTTCTGTTCAGTTCTGTTCTAGTTCTGTTCTAGTCTGTTCTAGTTCTGTTCTAGTTCTGTTCTAGTTCTGTTCTAGTTCTGTTCTAGTTCTGTTCTAGTCTGTTCTAGTTCTGTTCTAGTTTGTTCTAGTTCTGTTCTAGTTCTGGTTCTAGTTCTGTTCTAGTTTCTGTTCTAGTTCTGTTCTAGTTCTGTTCTAGTCTGTTCTAGTTCTGTTCTAGTTCTGTCTAGTTCTGTTCTAGTTCTGTTCTAGTTCTGTTCTATGTTCTAGTTCTATTCGTTCTAGTTCTGTTCTAGTTCTGTTCTAGTTCTGTTCTAGTTCTGTTCTAGTTCTGTTCTAGTTATGTTCTAGTTCTGTTCTAGTTCTGTTCTAGTTCGTTCTGTTTGTTCTAGTTCTTTCTAGTTCTGTTCTAGTTTTTCGTTCTGTTCTAGTTCTGTGTCTAGTTTTGTTTTTCTAGTTTTTCTGTTCTAGTTCTGTTCTAGTTCTGTTCTAGTTCTGTTCAGTTCTGTTCTAGTTCTGTTCTAGTTTCTGTTCTTTTAGTTCTGTTCTAGTTCTGTATGTTCTAGTTCTGTTCTAGTTCTGCTTCTGTTCTAGTTCTGTTCTAGTTCTGTTCTGTTCTGTTCTAGTTCTGTTCTAGTTCTGTTCTAGTTCTTTCTAGTTCTGTTCTAGTTCTGTTCTAGTTCTGTTCTAGTTCTGTTCTAGTTCTGTTCTAGTTCTGTTCTAGTTCTGTTCTAGTCTGTTCTAGTTCTGTTCTAGTTCTGTTCTAGTTCTGTTCTAGTTCTGTTCTAGTCTTCTAGTTCTGTTCTAGTTCTGTTCTAGTTCTGTTCTAGTTCTGTTAGTCTGTTCTAGTTCTGTTCTGTTCTGTTCTAGTTCTGTTCTAGTTCTGTTCTAGTTCTGTTCTAGTTCTGTTCTATTGTTCTATTCTGTTCTAGTTCTGTTCTAGTTCTGTTCTAGTTCTGTCTAGTTCTATTCTGTTCTAGTTCTGTTCTAGTTCTGTTCTAGTTCTGTTCTAGTTCTGTTCTAGTTCTGTTCTAGTTCCTGTTCTAGTTCTGTTCTAGTTCTGTTCTAGTTCTAGTTCTGTTCTAGTTCTGTTCTAGTTTCTAGTTCTGTTCTAGTTCTATTCTAGTTTTGTTCTAGTTCTGTTCTAGTTCTGTTCTAGTTCTGTTCTAGTTCTGTTCTAGTTCTGTTCTAGTTCTGTTCTAGTTCTGTTCTAGTTCTGTTCAAGTTCTATTCTAGTTCTGTTCTAGTTCTATTCTAGTTCTGTTCTAGTTCTGTTTTTTAAATGTGCCACTCCATTCCACTATTAATAGTTTTATAAACAACGGATATAGTGAACCAAGAACAGGCAGACACCCTCCATACACAACCCAACAAACTTTTATAATTGAAAAAAATTATAGTTATTTTTTCTCATCGATATTTTCTTAAGAATATAACTTAAAGCTCAAACAAACTAAAAATATGCTGGCACGTTTTAAAGTCAAATTATTATTACTTTTCATCTTGTTTAACTATTTTGTTTGCATTTTTATGTTTTATGAAGTTTGTTCTTCACCATTTATATCATTTAAAGGTTGTTTTCGTTCTTTTGATGCAAGCACACATTAGTAGTTACATAAAAGTATTTTTAAATTTTTGGCAAACTTTCTTGTCTTGTAGTTGCTTGTTTTATTTGGCCTTGTCTACTTGCTGTTAAGTTTTTTTCTCTCATTTTCTTGTAGCTATAAAGTTTGTGTAAAACAATGAATTATATTTCTCAAAGTTTTTTTCTTCTTTTTTTGGGCAAATTTTGCTGTGTATAAACAACGGCTAACAACAATTTAAGAAAAAAAACTTGGAAAAGTTTTGTATTCCCATATATATTTGCAACTTTTAGTAGTTGTAGCTTTTGTTCTGTTATGTTGTAGTTCTCTTAAATTTCATAAAGCAAGTTGTTTAAAATAATTATTTTAAAATTATTAAACATTTTAGTTCGATATGACCATGATACTCTTCTTGCTGTATTGGTACTCGAAAATGCTTTTGTATTTTGTAAAACTTTATGTTTTTCTTTGATAAACACTTAAAAGGACCGCAAGATGGAAAAGTTTGCTGTGGGTGAGATGTTTAAGTAATTATGTTAGGTTATTAAGATAAGGGCTTAAGGAGAGAACAGAAGTAGTGGAAAGTTCGGTATCTACACCTGTTGACGGTATGAATGAGCTAGAAACACACAAAGAGCAATATTATACATTTGTATGTATTTAACAAAGTGTAAATTTCCTTTAATATGCATCACTGCAGAGCGTATAATTAATATTTAATTCTTACACTGAAATTAATATAAATCATACGCACCACAAACCCTCTCAGTTGTAGTTCAGTTCTAGTTCAGTTCTAGTTCAGTTCTAGTTCAGTTCTAGTTCAGTTCTAGTTCAGTTCTAGTTCAGTTCTAGTTCAGTTCTAGTTCAGTTCTAGTTCAGTTCTAGTTCAGTTCTAGTTCAGTTCTAGTTCAGTTCTAGTTCAGTTCTAGTTCAGTTCTAGTTCAGTTCTAGTTCAGTTCTAGTTCAGTTCTAGTTCAGTTCTAGTTCAGTTCTAGTTCAGTTCTAGTTCAGTTCTAGTTCAGTTCTAGTTCAGTTCTAGTTCAGTTCTAGTTCAGTTCTAGTTCAGTTCTAGTTCAGTTCTAGTTCAGTTCTTTCAGTTCTAGTTCAGTTCTAGTTCAGTTCTAGTTCAGTTCTAGTTCAGTTCTAGTTCAGTTCTAGTTCAGTTCTAGTTCAGTCTAGTTCAGTTCTAGTTCAGTTCTAGTTCAGTTCTAGTTCAGTTCTAGTTCAGTTCTAGTTCAGTTCTAGTTCAGTTCTAGTTCAGTTCTAGTTCAGTTCTAGTTCAGTTCTAGTTCAGTTCTAGTTCAGTTCTAGTTCAGTTCAGTTCTAGTTCAGTTCTAGTTCAGTTCTAGTTCAGTTCTAGTTCAGTTCTAGTTCAGTTCTAGTTCAGTCTAGTTCAGTTCTAGTTCAGTTCTAGTTCAGTTCTAGTTCTAGTTCAGTTCTAGTTCAGTTCTAGTTCAGTTCTAGTTCAGTTCTAGTTCAGTTCTAGTTCAGTTCTAGTTCAGTTCTAGTTCAGTTCTAGTTCAGTTTCTAGGTTCAGTTCTAGTTCAGTTCTAGTTCAGTTCTAGTTCAGTTCTAGTTCAGTTCTAGTTCAGTTCTAGTTCAGTTCTAGTTCAGTTCTAGTTCAGTTCTAGTTCAGTTCTAGTTCAGTTCTAGTTTCAGTTCTAGTCAGGTCTAGTCAGTTCTAGTTCAGTTCTAGTTCAGTTCTAGTTCAGTTCTAGTCAGTTCTAGTTCAGTTCTAGTTCAGTTCTAGTTTCAGTTCTAGTTCAGTTCTAGTTCAGTTCTAGTTCAGTTCTAGTTCAGTTCTAGTCAGTTCTAGTTCGTTCTAGTTCAGTTCTAGTTCAGTTCTAGTTCAGTTCTAGTTCAGTTCTAGTTCAGTTCTAGTTCAGTTCTAGTTCAGTTCTAGTTTCAGTTCTAGTTCAGTTCTAGTTCAGTTCTAGTTCAGTTCTAGTTCAGTTCTAGTTCAGTTCTAGTTCAGTTCTAGTTCAGTTCTGTCAGTTCTAGTTCAGTTCTAGTTCAGTTCTAGTTCAGTTCTAGTCAGTTCTAGTTCAGTTCTAGTTCAGTTCTAGTCAGTTCTAGTTCAGTTCTAGTTCAGTTCTAGTTCAGTTCTAGTTCAGTTCTAGTTCAGTTCTAGTTCAGTTCTAGTTCAGTTCTAGTTCAGTTCTAGTTCAGTTCTAGTTCAGTTCTAGTTCAGTTCTAGTTCAGTTCTAGTTCAGTTCTAGTTCAGTTCTAGTTCAGTTCTAGTTCAGTTCTAGTTCAGTTCTAGTTCAGTTCTAGTTCAGTTCTAGTTCAGTTCTAGTTCAGTTCTAGTTCAGTTCTAGTTCAGTTCTAGTTCAGTTCTAGTTCAGTTCTAGTTCAGTTCTAGTTCAGTTCTAGTTCAGTTCTAGTTCAGTTCTAGTTCAGTTCTAGTTCAGTTCTAGTTCAGTTCTAGTTCAGTTCTAGTTCAGTTCTTCAGTTTCTAGTTCAGTTCTAGTTCAGTTCTAGTTCAGTTCAGTTCAGTTAGTTCAGTTCTAGTTCAGTTCTAGTTCAGTTCTAGTTCAGTTCTAGTTCAGTTCTAGTTCAGTTCTAGTTCAGTTCTAGTTCAGTTCTAGTTCAGTTCTAGTTCAGTTCTAGTTCAGTTCTAGTTCAGTTCTAGTTCAGTTCTAGTTCAGTTCTAGTTCAGTTCTAGTTCAGTTCTAGTTCAGTTCTAGTTCAGTTCTAGTTCAGTTCTAGTTCAGTTCTAGTTCAGTTCTAGTTCAGTTCTAGTTCAGTTCTAGTCAGTTCTAGTTCAGTTCTAGTTCAGTTCTAGTTCAGTTCTAGTTCAGTTCTAGTTCAGTTCTAGTTCAGTTCTAGTCAGTTCTAGTTCAGATCAAGTTCAGTTCTAGTTCAGTTCTAGTTCAGTTCTAGTTCAAAGCAAAATATATTTTGCAGTTCTCACTGTAATTATCCCCAGAGCGTATGATTTATGTTGTATTGCTATATCGAAATACATATTAATCATACGCTCCATTATATTCTCAAATTAACAGCAAATTAAACTTCCTTCATAAATGTACAACAAAAGTACGAAATACGAAAACATTTTACTACACTAAATTACATTTATTATTTTCATTAATTTTTTTATTATATCCTTATAGGTTCGCTGACGAAAGCTCTTCACCCACATTACGTTCACCGAAATTTGCACCCAGCCCACCGAATATCTACTATAAAGGCTGGTGGACATTTCCATATTTTTCATGTTCGCTCAGCAAATGGATATTATCGTATAGCATTGCAATACCACCGAATGGTCGTCATGGCCTGCGCGGTTTCATAAGTATCGATATTGATGTGACGGGTTTGCGTGTCAATCAATGCGAAGCACCGGTAGCGTATCGATTCAATTATCAGCAAATACAAACGAGACGTTTACATTTGGTCGATACGCAAACGAGTGAATATATAAATGATATACAAGCGTTTCATAAATCGCACAAATGTCATCGTGATACAATGGTGGTGAGTAGAGTTTGATTACTTTGAAAGGGTGGTTATGGTTATAATGGTTTCTGAGTATATTTGGAAAATAAATCAATATTGAAGGTAAAGGTATGGAAATTGTTCTGTTAATTATTAAAAAACAACTAAAGAAGCCATTAAAATACTATTAAGGAAATTACGTTAAAGAATTTACTGAGAAGTAATTGAAGTAGCAAAGTTTAGTGTAATAGCTTTCTGATAGTCACAAACATTTTCTTTATAAATTTATTATTTTATAGTACAAGATCTTTTAACCTTTTTTAATATTATTTCCAGTGTGATTATCGTTTGCCCACCTCCGATTCACCGACAATAACCACCAACAAACTTTTAGCTACACCCAACACTTGGTCACGTGGCGCCTATCAATGTTTATGCAAACGTGGCTTTTATTCCATACGTCATCCGGATGGATTTAATGGCACTATTATGGAAATAGCCTGGAAAGAACATCAGGATAATATTAGCAATTATTATTCCGATGTTTTTATTTGTCTACAATGTGCACCGGGTTGTGACAGTTGTACGGGACCGGAACCTTGTTTGGCTGACTACAATTGGCCTTTTAGGTTGGTGTGAAAAAAAACTATTGAAAATTTCTTAGAAATTACATTTAATATCTTTAAATTTTTTTATAGAATATCTCTTTTAACCATTTCGGTTGGTTGTGCTTTTGGTTGCTGTATTTTGGCTGGATATTTATTCCATCATCGCCGTGTTAAAGTTTTCAAAGTGGCCAGTCCGATATTTTTGCTAATAACTCTTATTGGATGTGCCATTATGTATTTGGAGGTGAGTAAAACTAAGCTATAGGTTGAACTATATTAGAGGTCAGATTGTAGTCAAATCTTTTCTACAGCCCAGATTATTGTGTAGGCTATAGCCCAGAATATAGTCTAGTCTATAATCTCGTCTATAGTCTAGTCTATAATCTAGTCTATAGTCTAGTCTATAGTCTAGTCTATAGTCTAGTCTATAATCTAGTCTATAGTCTAGTCTATAATCTAGTCTATAGTCTAGTCTATAGTCTAGTCTATAGTCTAGTCTATAGTCTAGTCTATAGTCTAGTCTATAGTCTAGTCTATACTCTAGTCTATAGTCTAGTCTATAGTCTAGTCTAGTCTAGTCTAGTCTATAGTCTAGTCTATAGTCTAGTCTATAGTCTAGTCTATAGTCTAGTCTATAGTCTAGTCTATACTCCAGTCTATAGTCTAGTCTATAGTCTAGTCTATAGTCTAGTCTATAGTCTAGTCTATAGTCTAGTCTATAGTCTAGTCTATAGTCTAGTCTATAGTCTAGTCTATAGTCTAGTCTATAGTCTAGTCTATAATCTAGTCTATAGTCTAGTCTATAGTCTAGTCTATAATCTAGTCTATAGTCTAGTCTATAGTCTAGTCTATAGTCTAGTCTATAGTCTAGTCTATAGTCTAGTCTTTAGTCTATAGTCTATAGTCTAAAGTCAATAGTCTATAGTATAGTCTAGTCTAGTCTAGTCTAGTCTATAGTCTAGTCTATAGTCTACTCTATAGTCTAGTCTATAGTCTAGTCTATAGTCTAGTCTATAGTCTAGTCTAGTCTATAGTCTAGTCTATAGTATAGTCTAGTCTAGTCTATAGTCTATAGTCTATAGTCTATAGTCTATAGTCTATAGTCTATAGTCTATAGTCTATAGTCTATAGTCTATAGTCTAGTCTAGTCTAGTCTAGTCTATAGTCTATAGTCTATAGTCTATAGTCTAGTCTAGTCTAGTCTAGTCTAGTCTATAGTCTAGTCTATAGTCTAGTCTATAGTCTAGTCTATAGTCTAATCTATAGCCTAGTCTATAGTCTAGTCTATAGTCTAGTCTATAATCTAGTCTATAGTCTAGTCTAGTCTATAGTCTAGTCTATAGCCTAGTCTATAGCCTAGTCTATAGTCTAGTCTATAGTCTAGTCTATAGTCTAGTCTATAGTCTAGTCTATAGTCTAGTCTATAGTCTAATCTATAGTCTAGTCTATAGTCTAGTCTATAGTCTAGTCTATAGTCTAGTCTATAGTCTAGTCTATAGTCTGGTCTATAGTCTAGTCTATAGTCTAGTCTATAGTCTAGTCTATAGTCTGGTCTTTAGTCTAGTCTATAGTCTAGTCTAGTCTAGTCTATAGTCTAGTCTATAGTCTAGTCTATAGTCTAGTCTATAGTCTAGTCTATAGTCTAGTCTATAGTCTAGTCTATAGTCTAGTCTATAGTCTAGTCTATAGTCTACTCTATAATCTAGTCTATAGTCTAGTTTATAGTCTAGTCTATAGTCTAGTCTATAGTCTAATCTATAGTCTAATCTGTAGTATAATCTATAGTATAGTCTATAGTCTAGTCTATAGTCTACTCTATAGTCTAGTCTATAGTCTAATCTATAGTGTAGTCTATAGCCCAGACTATAGTCCAGTGTGTAGTCTATAGCCCAGACTATAGTCCAGTGTGTAGTCTATTCTATAGTGCAGTCTATAGTCTAGTCTATAGATTAGATTGTATTCTAGGATATACTATAGCCTCAAGCATTTTGGGACCGATTTTCCTGTTTCAACAATTTTGTAAAAATTTCCTATCATTGTAATCCTCATCTACATATACATATATATTTAAAAATACACTAAATATACACACATACATATTTATGTGTATGTATGTTAAATTAAACATATGTATGTATGCATGCTAACCAACTGTTTTTGAAAAATTGTAAACAAAAATTAATTAATAAAATACATCCATTTAAATGTCATTTAACAAATAATGTTGTTGGCAGGGAGCCATCATCACACTTGCAAAACAAGCAGCCAATTTAAATCCTTTTTTTTTTCATTTTTTTAATATGTAGTTGTTGTGTTGCTTCATTTAAATATTAATATTTAGTCAACAAGTAAAATCCATTAAATTCTGTTGGCTTTTAACAAATTGGTCCCTACATTTTCCGGGTTAAATTTAATAAAATGCTACAACATAACACTACACAGTGTCAAAAGTTTACATACATACACATACATACATTCATGTAAAACAGTGAAAATGCAAGCATAGGGGTATAGGTAAATACATATATATATGGTTAGTTTCAAAAGTTAGTTAAATATAATAATGTTTTACCTAAAAACTTTTCTAGTCTCTTAGTACTGTCCTAATAGAAAGCTTAATTTAATTTTATATTTCCAATTTTTATTTTATAAGAACTTTTATGCACGCCTTCGTTGATATGACAACAATTCTATATGTATTAAAATAAAAAAACATACAACATCCCTTTATGTCGTTTTTCTTTCTATACTCATGTATTTTTACTTTTTTGTATACATGTACTCATGTAAATGAAATGGTTTTGCGTATATCACCTCATTTATTCTTAGTTGCTTTATGGTATTTTTTATATAAATTAAAAAAAAACACCTACTTACACACACGCACTCAAACATTCCCTCAGCTATAACATTATGCTACCAGTAGCTCCATTTAATCTGCAAACATATTTAGATATTTGTATGGAAAAATAATGGTCCCTTTTATATACATAAATAATTTTTTTTTATCGGAAATTATATAACAGTCAACCTTATATTTTTAAGGGTTGTTCCTACTTTTCTATATAGCCTCAACTATAGACCAGTTTAAAGTTTTCACTATAGTTACGATATTAGGAAAGACCCTCTTTTCATTATAGAAAAGCATACAGATTATGTCTTCGATCATAGTCTCGACTAAACATAAGAGTTTTAATTCGATATATAGACAATACTATAGATTAGACATAGACAACACTATAGACATTAATAGTCTCGATTATAGGCAAGACAATAGACTCGACTATAGACAAGACTTTAGTCACGACTATAGACAAGACTATACTCTCAACTATAGACAAGACTATAGTCCCGACTATAGCCAAGAATATAAACGAGGCTATAGCAAAGTCTCAACTAACTAGTCTCGACTATAGACAATACAATAGTTTCGACTATAGACAAGACTATAGTCTCGTCTATCGACAAGACTACAGGCTCGAATATAGAAAAGACAATAGTTTCGACTATCGACGAGACAATAGTCTCCACTATAGACAAGACTATAGTCTTAACTATAGACAAATCTATAGTCTTGACTATAGACAAGGCAATAGTCTCGACTATAGACAAGACAATAGTCTCGACTATAGACAAGACAATAGTCTCGACTATAGGCACGACTATAGTTCGACTATAGACAAGACAATAATCTCGACTATAGACAAGACTATAGTCTCGACTATAGACAGGACTATACTCTCGACTATAGATAAGACTAAAGTGTCGACTACAGACCAGACTAAAGTCTCGACTATAGGCAAAACTATATATTAGATTATAGCATCGACAAGACTATAGTCTCGAATATGGGCAGGATTATAGTCTCGACTATAGACAAGATTATAGTTTCAAATATAGACAAGACTATAAGCTCGACTATAGACAAGACCATAGTCTCGACTATGGACAATACTATAGACAAGGCTATAATCTCGACTATAGACAAGTCTATACTGTCGACTACACTCTCGACTATAGACAAGACTCTACTCTCGTCTATAGACAAGTCTATAGTCTCGACTATAGACAAGACTATAGTCTCGACTATAGACAAGACTATACTCTCGACTATAGACAAGACTATAGTCTCTACTATAGTCTCGACTATAGACAAGACTATAGTCTCGACTATAGACAAGACTATAGTCTCGACTATAGACAAGGCTATAGTCTCCACTATAGACAAGACTATAGTCTCCACTATAGACAAGACTATAGTCTCGGCTATACAAGGTTATAGCCAAGTCTCTACTATAGACAAGACAATAGTCTCGACTATAGACAAGACTATAGTCTCGACTATAGACAAGTATATAGTCTCGACTATAGACAAGACAATAGTCTTGACTATAGACAAGACTATAGTCTCGACTATCGACAAGACTACAGGCTCGACTATAGAAAAGAAAATAGTCTCGACTTTAGAAAAGACTATAGTCTCGACTATAGACAAGACTATAGTCTCAACTATAGACAAATCTATAGTCTTGACTATAGACAAGACAATAGTCTCGACTATAGACAAGACAATAGTCTCGACCGAACTATAGCACGACTATAGTTCGACTATAGACAAGACAATAATCTCGACTATAGGCAAGACTATAGTCTCGACTATAGACAGGACTACAGTCTCGACTATAGAGGAGACTAAAGTGTCGAAGTGTCGACCAGACTAAAGTCTCGACTATAGGCAAAACTATAGATTAGACTATAGCATCGAATATAGACAAGACCATTTTAATGACTCGACCATTATATTGAATATAGACTTATTATTTTGTCTCCATCAAAATATAGTGTCAGCTATAGACAAGACATGTAGTCTTGGCTAGTTAAGATCAAAATCACAACTATAGACCTGTCCATATTTTGCCATAAATAGTAAATTGAAATCTGAGTTTCTTAAATATTCAAATATAAAATTATATAAATTACTGCCAGAAAACAAGCAATGTTCAGCATCATAATATGAAAAGACATAAAGTTACCGAAAAAATGTAACATTTAATATTGCGAAGAAGGTGTCATGAATTTTTAAAATAAACGTAAGTTTTCACGTTTTAAAATTTATTTAGTGTCATCCTAAAAAATAAATCCGTTTTTTTCACAACGTATTTCATTTTGTTTCTTTCACCTTTAAAACCTGTATGTTTTATTGTTGTCTTAATGTTATGAGTTGTCTCGCTGGTTTTACACAGTTTATACCCTGCAGTACAAGTTTCAACAGGCAGGTCTTGAACTTTTGTCATTTACCCTTAAATGTCTAAAAGCTAATCTAGAAGTCTTTCTTCCATTTGGTTTTCTTTTCTTCAAAATGATTATTTACCAAATTTTACAACTACTGTGAATTGTTCTGAAACCTGCAAGGTACACCTAACCTGTCAGTTTAATATTTATGCATATTTGAGTAGTCGGAGTCTAAGTCCTGTGAACATGTAGTGAGTGGTATGCTATAAAATCCACCTTTAAAACAAACAAAAAAATGAACACTTTATGGTAGAAATCACACTTAAAACATTCATTTGAAAGCACACCGAGTGAACAGTTATGTACATTTGTATACATTTTATTAGAGCAGTCATAAAAAAAAATTTTGTGACATGCATCATTTAGGAAAAGCTGTATTCATAAAAAAATATTGGGTAGGAGAAGGTTTAATTTCATTAAGAACACAATTCTGAAGGATAGTACGAAACGAGGTCAACTCAAGAACGACGTTCTTGAAATAAGTACATATTGGTATTGATTCAGTTAAACTTAAATCTAACTGAAAATTCTTAAAATTAAATGAATAGTGGGATAACATTGATAAGAAATGAATTTCTTTTCATACCCAATAATTTAACATTAGACAGCTTTTTATACAACTTGTTGTCATAGTAGATATTGTATATATACACATTTCTATGCAAACAATAATTGGTTTAATTTTATTAAAGCTTTATGATGCCAAAAGGGATTTGTTAACGGAATATTATATATATATATGTAATATTTCCATTCAGCTAAACATACAAATATTCAAATTAAATATAACCTTTATCTTTACGTCGCTATATTATAACTGTTATATAATGTTTATATCTTGTTAAATGAAATGAAACCTAATGAAAACTCAAATGAGAATCATATTCTAATCTCACAGGATATCGGGTAAATAGCTTCTTGGTCATTTAAAATGTTTCTAAAGTAACAACTATTTCAATAAATAATAAAGAAAGAGTTTAAATTTAAGAAATTTAATATAATGCATATATTTTGGGTCCTTATTGGATAAGTTAAGTCCTTAGAGTAGACTAGGCAATATACAATTCCGTAGAGTAGTCGATATAATACTCAATAGACTAGTCAATATATTGATTAATAATATAAACCATAAGCTAGTCAACAGATTTACCCATAGGCTAGACAATAGATTTGTCCTTAGATTAGTCAATAGACTAGACAATAGACTACTCAATAGACTCTTCAATAGACGATTTCATAGACTAGTCAACGGACGATTCCACAGAATACACAATAGACTATTCGATAGTTTATAGATAGTCTAATAGACTTGTCCCTAGACTAGTCTATAGACTAGTTAAAAGAGTATTCTCTTGACTTCCCTATTGAGCATTGAGACTAGTCAATAGAGTAGTCTATAGACTAGTCAATAGAGTTGTCTCTGGACTAGTCAATAGAATAATCTACAGATTAGTCAAACTAATAGTCTGTAGACTAGTCAACAGAATAGTCTATAGACTGGTAGTTGAGTAGTCGATATACTAGTCAGTAGAGTAGTCCATAGACTACTCATTAGAGTAGTCAATAGACTAGTCTATAGACTAGCCAATAGAGTAGTCTATAGACTAGCCAATAGAGTAGTCTATAGACTAGCCAATAGAGTTGTCTATAAATTAGTCAATAGAGTAGTCTATAGACAAGTCAATAGAGTAGTCTATAGACAAGTCAATAGAGTAGTCTATAGACTAATCAACAGAGTAGTCTATAGACTAATCAACAGAGTAGTCTATAGACTTGTCCATTGATTAGTCTATAGACAAGTCAATAGAGCAGTCTATAGACTAGACAATATAGTAGTCTATGGACTAGTCAATAGAGTTGTCTATAGACTAGCCAATAGAGTAGTCTATAGACTTGCCAATAGAGTAATATATAGCCTAGCCAATAGAGTAGTATATAGACTAGTCAAAAGAGTAGTCTATAGACTAGCCTAGTCTATACTAGAGTCTATACTACTAGAGTAGTCTATAGACTAGCCAATAGAGTAGTCTAGAGACTAGCCAATAGAGTAGTCTATAAATTAGCCAATAAAGTAGTCTATAGACAAGCCAATAGAGTAGTCTAGAGACTAGCCAAAAGAGTAGCCTATAGACTAGCCAATAGAGTAGCCTATAGACAAGTCAATAGAGTAGTCTATAGACAAGTCAATAGAGTAGTCTATAGACTAATCAACAGAGTAGTCTATAGACTAGACAATATAGTAGTCTATGGACTAGTCAATAGAGTTGTCTATAGACTAGCCAATAGAGTAATATATAGCCTAGCCAATAGAGTAGTCCATAGACTAGCCAATAGAGTAGTCTATAGACTAGCCAATAGAGTAGTCTATAGACCAGCCAATAAAGTAATCTATAGACTAGCCAATAGAGTAGTCTATAGACTAGTTAATAGAGTAGCCTATAGACTTGTTATTAGAGTAGCCTATAGACTTTATCTTGTATTATTTGTTATAAATGAAACTAACCCGTTATTTTTCACTTCTTTTTATTCAGATGGTGGCTATATTCCCCTTTTTGGATACAACTTGGTGTATTATAACAAAATGGACTCGACACATGGGTTTCTGTATTACCTATACATCATTGTTAATGAAAACTTGGAGGTAAGATAAGCACATAAAATCTTATGACCTTTACTGTGAGTTTTGAAAGGTCAAAGGTTACAACAATTCGATAAATATTCTTATATTTGAAATTTATGTGTTAGTTAACAAATATCAGGTTTTAATACTTATTTTCATTCTCCCCAGGGTATCACTAACGTATCGTGTAAAATC